GCAAATACAGTTCGATTTGCCGAGAAGTGAAAGAGCCGACTATATACAGGGGTGGCCAAAAAAAGAGACACTTTGCCCATGGCGCACATCATCGAACTTTTCGTCGCACAGGTGCCGATGTTAATGAAAGTTTTACGGCGGAATATTCCTTAGGTGTTCCCCCGTAAACAGAAGCAGGCCCTCCTTCACTGCCCCGCCGTCTTCAGAATATGACGTCATCTGCCGCCACCGTCGAGCTCAACGAGGCTTACCGTAATCGCTCCGGCCTGAAGCTGCTACATAATTTCTTCAATGGATTAACTGTTGAATAGCTTCCCAGAGACATTAGCTGTGACTATGCAAAACCGCTTTTGACCAGCGTTTCAGGGACGTCGTAATGGTCTATGGTACCTCGACGACCTCGTTGAGCTCGTACCGTGAACCATGTTTCCGTGGGAAAATCTTCTGATGTCGTCGGTGTAGAAGGCTGTCATGTAACTTTTAGATAGATTAGAATGTGCTCTTAAATTTGGGGCAGTCGATTTGATTTTAGCAAAGTGTGATTAATGCTGTCTGAAATGTGGAGTGAAGTGTCTCTTTTTTTGGCCACCCTGTAAGGTCGGTGTTTTTGCTTGTTTTTCTTACGGGTTGTCTGCCTTCCTCTTCAAGTTTCTTATCTTAGCGAAACGCTTCGCGATAGGAAAAAGCTGTTAGGAGTAAGAAAATGTTGCGAAGAGGGCAGGAAAATCGTGAGCAGCAACAGGCGAGTTATGGGTTGGAAATATATATCTAAAATGCGGCAAATCTTCTAATTTTTGCTATCTATACATCTCTCGTGAAATTTCCCCAGAATCGTCAAAAACTAGTCGAGCACGACCCCTCCCTTGTAGCTGCGACCCCTTCAGCTTGCACAATTATGCCCCCTCTCGACCTTTTAGCCCTCGGCGACACAAATAAAACTTCCCTCCTGAAATTGCTGATACGACCCTCTGTTGGCGCTTGTACCAACGGACGGCTGACCCTGCTGAGGAGGTGAACGCACTGTACGAGAAGCCAGATAGCCAAAACTAGTAGAGCAGCTCGCCTTCCGACCGGGTGAATCGAACACTGCTTGTGATTCTGGGGAGCAATTCAGCTACTAGTGGTAGTGTGAATTAGTCACAGTATAGGGACAAATCAACGCGCCATGGAAATCAGAGAGAGTCCAGTGGAATCCTCTGAGATTAAGGGTACTCCAGGTCATCATAAAGTTAAATATACTAGACAATGGTTAGGCAAACGATGCCCAACAGCAGCGCGCCTTGGCCCTTCGGGAAAACACATTGAGAGATAGTTTCACTCTGTTGAAATGAGGATGCTGAGATGGGCCTGCGGCTGGACGCGACTGGACAGGGTCAGGAACGAGGATGTCAGAGCGGTCATGCAGACTGCCCCTGTCCAGCTGAAGGTGAGGGAGCAACGACTGCGATGGTATGGGCATGTGCTAGAAGACCACAAGGATCACCCGATAAGGAAAGCGATAGTCTTTGAAGCCCAAGGCAAGCGATCACGACGAGCGTCAAAGAATAGGTAGAAGGAGCAATGAAGAACGACTCCACTGACAAGGAAAATCGTTCAAGGCGTGCAACACCTTTTTAATTTTTTTTGCATTTGTAGGGGCTTATGCATTACGTACAAAACCGAGCTTCATTTGCGGCGGCTCTCTGGATGCAGAAGAAGGAGCAAAGAAAATGAGCATTTACTGCCTCAGAGTGATGAAAAGGACTTGCAGCAAGAATACTCGCATCCTGGAGGGAATGATCTCGTGAGATGTAAAAAGGTTTGAGTTTGATCTAGAGAGTATCGGTCCTGTCATGTGCGGAGAGAGTCGAAGCTTCAATAGCAGCGTTGTCGACGTCAGCGCTAGTTTGCGTTTTCCAGTAGTCCAGGGCATAGCGTAATTCACTTTTGTAGCCGTGGGTTGGTTTTCGGGTGGGTTTCCATCTGAGATTGGTGTGAAATCGTGGCGCCAAAAATGGATGTCGTATTGATCGGAGACACCGGTTTCGTACATGTAACTTTCTTAAATAATACACCTTACTTAGAAAATCATAGGTGAATCAACGTAGGTCCATCATAAGCGCGCGTCATTCACACGAACGCAGACAACTAATGAACTCGGCGCGAAGAACATGCGATCTTTAACACCTTGACGACAGCGCGGCAACTAGGTTTGCCGCGTTTTGCACGCCGCAATGGACATTGTGGCAAACTATAGTTGCCACACCCTTTACATTCAGTTTTTTCTTGAACGCGCCATTTCTTCCCAGGTTTTTTGTGTTCATTTTTTAGGCCATACCACAACATAACCAAGAACCACGCGGCTTATAGAATGACCAAATATTCTTTAGTTTGGCAGAGGTTTTTCGGACCGGACGAAAATATCCGTTCAGTTCATTCCTCATTTTCTCTTCATTAACACGAACATGTAGATAAAAAAGAATATTAGAAGTGAGTACAAAGCTACTCGTGTGGCAAGATATGTGTTTTTACCGAAACAACCACGTCCAAAATAATTTTGAAATCACTAAAGCAAAAGTAAGTGAAACTTGCCTTTTCAATGCTGTAACACATCATTCGACCGCACTTTCACATGTGTACCTTCCAATAAGTTTGACACACCGAATATCAGTGAAAACATTTTGTCGCATCGAAGTATTGCGTATTTAAAGCTCAAAATCCACAGATTTGTTGTGAGGCGGCGGCGCTCGCAGAACCGCTCTGGTCCCACGCGGCCAAAAATGCCAAAACGCGCGATGTCGTCAACGTGTTAAAACCAGTCCAGCTGTCGAGAATCTAGTGACTGACTACATGAGCCGAAGATCCAAACGCTCTTCGACAAAGTGGAAAACTTCCTCGACATCGTGTGCGTCCATCACCATCTTGGATGTCCATCATTCTCCATCATGGGGTTCTATTACGTTATTATATTGAAAAAGGATGAGGAGGAAATCGTTTCCATGTTACCAGCTAGGCTACATGGCTGCCAGGACTAGCCAATTATCCATGGCCATTTTTGAATCAGGTCAAAATCAAAAATTTCTTTAATACTTCTCTCTTATTGGTTATCCAGTACCCTGATTAGAATAAGAGTTCATCTTGATTCGAGAAGTCGATTCGAGAAGTGGTGAAGACTATTGCACGCTAAAATGGGGCCATTTGGCGCCATTTTAGCGCTGCAATAGTCTTCACCACTTCTCGATCAAAAGCTACGCGTAATGGCTGTTGATGCACTTGGTAGTGGATATGACACCTATTCTTGATGTCAGTGCTTCTTAACTCCAGCTCTGAACGTCCACATATAATACAAAAAAGAATCATCATAGGGAAATGAACCTTAGACAATTACTTTAATCTGTTTTAGCCTTCGAAGGATCCTCAACAATAATGAGCCTCGGTGTTGTGGTCCACGCATAATCCCCTACGAAAACCGTTTCAAAACGGCGCTCTACGCCCTAGTGACCTTTCCTATGAAACCAAGGGAACGGCTAAAGATGCCTCAGGACAGGGGAAGTAGCGATGGCCAACAGGACAGCGAAACCCGCGACGGAACTATGATATTGAGACTAGCCGGTGATGAGGGAGATGAAAGGGACGGTCCGTCTGAGCCACACATTTTGTATAGATAATGAGTGTATGCGAGTTCAGTGATTCTTCGGCAGCTGAGTGTATATGAGAGCAAGTTATTCTATCTATAATCGAAGTTGAAATTAGGATTCAACTTCTCTGTAAAGTGTTGGTAAGTAGTAACATCCCTAAAAAATCAACATATGCTCAAATGCACTATTTTGCTCATTCTTCAAACATAGCGCCATTAAATTTCGATTTTTCCGCTAGGAACTAGATGAAAAATACTCAATTAACAATATCCTGAAGGCGAAGGCTTGCCTTTTCAAATTTTGGATCTGGGCTCGGAACCTTGGACAGCCGAGGTAGGCATAAGCTAAACCCGAACCAATGACCTGATAACACGAGAATATTTTCCACTCACCGAAAAGGATTTAGCCACAATAAAAATGCTCTTAAGGGTGTACATGAGCGGCTATGCATGGCCTCGCATAACGCGTACTTGGTTAAAATTTGTCCCCTTCCCTTTCAAGAATTCTTCGAAAACGTCAATAAATGTCTCAAGTACTTCAAGAAACCGGCGTTTATTTTACTCAGCTAAGGAACAGATGAGTAGTCATTTCCGGATTTTTTTTTCAAATAGGCACAGGTACTACACATTTTAAAACATCGGAAATTTATAGAACAATGTTCTCCAAGTGGAGAGACTCACAGAACTCACGTCAAAACCCCCTTCAAAGGTGCTATTTGTATTCAAGAGATGATACGAAGCGATTATAAACAAGAAACAGCATGAAGAAAGCAATATCTGAAGACTCACAAGTCCGCAGCAATAAGTTCTCAGCTGAACCACTGCTATTAATTGAACCTCCGCTCTCTATGCAGCAGACGGCTATGTGGAAGGATTTATTAAAGTGGGCGAATTCCCGTGGTAACAAATTACATCGGGAATGGTATTTTCTTTAAGCAAAGGGTGCCGATTAGCCCGAGAAGACAAGTGATGTGCAAACAGCTACACTTATGTTTTCATTACTACTTTTTTCTAGCTATACTGCCTCGGCGAGAGATGCAGGACCCGAAGCCATTACTCTACGCAAACGTGAGAGAGATGGAGCACATACGCGTTTCTCACCCAATCTACGTGAAACCTCAGCCTCCGCTGATACGCGGCGCACGGCTGACCGCTGACTGCTGAACTATACTACTTAAAAAGAAGTGGTATTCATGTAGAGGAGATTATAAAATGTCATACGAAGCACCCGTCACTGTTGTAAACTGGTCTTCTTTGCTCTCACTACCTGAATACTGCCTCTGTCAGCAGCCTGCAATGCGCTGTGTACACCAGCTTCAAAAATAACAAAAGATAGCAGATGGAGGGTATCAGAAACGATCACTACATCGCGAAACGTCGAAAACTAGAACGAATATTCATGAGAGCCTCGCACCGGCAACAACTGTGAAAGGGACTTGAGCGATATGATGAAACGACCGCTCATCAACAATAACAACGATCTATATCGCACAAACAAAACAACATAGTCACAACTAGTACAGTGAGAAATCATGAAATCAAGCCACGCAATGTCTCCGTCTTCTTCTCGTCGAGCTGAGCGGCTTGAACAACAGCTTCGAACACCTTCCGTATTGTTGTGTAACACTTTGAGAATGTGCTGCAACCGCTGAGCTACTGCTGCTCCTTCATCATTTGGTGGGAAAGCTTCCAAAGCAAACGCAGATACGACTGAAAAGATTGAGGCTAAACAGACGAAAACTGGTGAAAAACATTAGGCCATGATAAACATTAAGGCTTCGTAACGGAACTGGTTTGGTCTAGAACTTCATCACGAAACTAGGCGTTTAGAACGCTACATTGAATGACAGCCTCGTGACCCCATCTACCGCCGCCCACTCATACGCGCAACCATCACTCGCCCAACTCCACCTCATACTAACTCACCATCTGTAAAACGGAACACACCCAACCCGACCCCCCCTCCGCCCGCACTGCCTACAGGGGAGCTTCTTTGACCATATGTATTGGGTTGGTGCATAATAACGTAGCGTTTTTTTTCTCGAGCTACAAACTCAGTGAATACAAGTACTACCAAGGAAATCACATATATCATTTGAAAGTACTTCTTCCGCTCTACAAAACCTTGTTTGTTATTTTCTTCTATATTGTAAATGTACTCAGATATGGTGCTTAGAAGTTGGAAACTTAAGGGTGGGCGAAAATCTATATAAAGAAAAAAGCTGCCAAAATGGGAGTTTTTCGGGATCTATCGTCATCATCGAAACTTACTCCGATCGACCCTCAATCACAAATCATATTTACGTCGTACATATTGAGAATGATGAGGACTCTGAAAACGGGCTCAGTACCCTTTTTTAAATTCTGGACCCGGCAATCTTTCGCGAAATGGGATCAAAGTCGTATATAATGACGAGAAGAACATCACTGATTAGTTTTATGCTTGGCTTTGCTTTTGGGTTTTGCTTTGAACGTTTTTGCCGAATGCGAGCGCTACGATATTATGCACCAACCCAATAATACAGGGGTGGCCAAAAAAAGAGACACATTGCCCATGGCGCACATATCGAACTTTTCGTCGGACAGGGAGCCCGATGATACAAAGTGTTTACGGCGGAATATTCCTTAGGTTCGTCCCGAACCAGAAACCAGACGCCTCCTCACTGTCTCCGCCCTCTTCAAGAATATAACTTCTTTGCCGCCACCGTAAGCTCCACGACGGCTAGGTACGTGTTTTGCCTCGGTAATACCGTCGAGCTCAAACGAGGCTTACCGTAATCGCTCCGACCTGAAGCTGCTACATAATTTCGTCAATGGATTAATTGTTGAATAGCTTCCCAGAGACATTAGCTGTGAATATGCAAAACCGCTTTTGACCAGCGTTTCAGAGACGTCGTAATGTCTCCTCGACGACCTCATTGTGCTCGTACCGTGAACTATGTTCCCGTGGGAAAATCTTCTGATGTCGTCGGTGTAGAAGGCTATCATGTAACGGTTAGATAGACTACAATGTGCTCTTTAATACTAAGTTGGGAGCAGTCGATTTGATTTTAGCAAGCGTGTGGTTCATTGCTATCCGAAATGTGGAGGAAGTCTCTTTTTTTGGCCACCTCTGTATATTTGCTATGTCTGTTGTGCACGAACCGTTTCGCGATCGCGAGCGGTGAATTCACACCAGCCGAAAATGATTACAATAAGTGTTACAAATGACACCTGAAGAAGACTTCGAAATAGAAAAACTCGACAAGAATAACTCACTAATGAATACTAGCCGTGGTAAATTGCAGTTATCTTTACCAAGAACAACCGGATGATCAGACTCAATCAAGTCAGCAAGATAGCCATATATGTGTGGTGCTTCGGTAACATCTTCATGAGTTGGTAACCAAGACAAGAATGCAGGTACAACCTGAATATCGAAATCATCGAAAATTTCAGTACATATTCGTGTTTATGATAAGCCACAGTATATGGGAGACAAGCAGAAGTATCTAATATCACTTTTGATCGGCGCTTAGCCGAAAATCTTAGACGTAAATTTTTAAAGTTCGTGCTATGAACAAGCACGGTATACAGCTCTGTCCTCCCTGAGGAATCCGGTCATTTTGGGGAAACACATCGTGAAAACCATGAAATAGGCCTGATATTTCTATTGGAACTATCTTTCCCACAGAGCCAATAC